GCAGGAATTGTAACATCTTTTGTAACCATTTCTTACACTGAGAGAAGAATATGTAATGTGTCAGTCATAGTATTGTCTGGCAAATTGCAATAACCTACTGTAAAATGGGGTAATAAGGAACGGTTTTGAGCGTTTTTCATTAACTTCTTACCATGAAACATTTCATAAACAAGTCTTGGCTCATTTTAAAGGTCTTTGCGAGGGCTATCGCATATCATCTTCAAAAAAAATTCCATATACTATTCATAAGGTTCCAGATGTAAAATAAAAGTGGGTAATTTGGGACACTTGAAATAAAACTCAATTTTAAAATGTACTCTTCCACTACTAACAGTACTCCAAAGTCCTCCTCTTGCTTTGTAGATGACCTACATGCAGAATAAATGACATTTTCTGCAATATGTACTTTTTTCCTTTATTGATATGATATTACCATATCCATACATAACTGTATTATTGATGTGATATTACCCTATCCATGGACATGCCATTAAGCACTGACAGCAACCTTGTCCACTGTAACCTTACAAGACTGGACTTGTTATTTTCCACCATCTTAATTGGGTCACGTGAATTCACTATACGTATAACAAAAAAATAACATAAAAACACACCAGGGCAGGTACTTTCAAACATTGCCAAGTGGACATAACTTCTTGAACTTAAGCTCAAAAAGTTAGAAGTTAAGCTCTAGAAGTAGATCGTCTAGTGTACGATCAGCGACCTTTGACACCTTCAAAACTTACGTATGACCAACTTAGCTAAGAGAGTACTATCAAACCATGTTGCACTTCAGCCAATAACAAGCTTGCTTACATCCTCTGTTTACATTATGAGTCACATTACGCCATGATTCTTTGTTCAGTTATTTAAACATTTTGTCTCTTTCTAAAGAATTCTAGGCTCTTTTAATCTAAAATTTTGATGACAAATGACATTTCAATTTAGCAAAACTGTTATTTAATGATTAATATGACATAAATACAATGAGAATAGAATTTGTGTAAATTCATTTGTTAGCTTCACCCATCAGATTTGTTTTCTGTTGACATATACTAAGAAAAAATTCATTAAATGTATGACTAATAAAATTTTCTAAATATCAAAATAAGGATAATTTTCTAAATAAAAATTAGAGGATCTACCTTAAAATGATACTAGAGTCTTGACACTAGTATGATACACTAGTCCAGACACTATTAAGGACTAGACACTGGTAACTAAATGATTACCAATCTCTTCACTCACTCAAAAGTTGATCATAACTCCACTTATGCAACCTTTGAATTGGCGCAAAGTTATGTTCTTCTTATTGCTCATAACGTACCTACCACAAAATGTATTGAAGGTACCATCATTTGGAGTTATGCACACTTTGCAGACTTATGCTGCACTTAAACCGCTACAAGCACTTAGCAATGTTTTGAAAGTACCTGCCCTGAAACAGAAAAGAATATATTAGTGACAACAATCATGATTTTTCATTAAGTGAATTTTTTTTGCTGAGCAAGCTAAGTGAAATCAAAAATCTTTATTGTTAATCAATTTTTTGTTAACTGGAGCCTTTGCTAACCAAGGTTCTATAGTAAATGCATTTTTAGGGTGTCCCTTATTACCCCAGGAAGGGTCCCTTATTACCCCATATTGCAGAAATGGCAACAATTTTTTTGGATGGAGCTACACAAATTTCATCAATCACATTCTTAAGCTAACACCTGCCTGTAACTTTTTTGCAAGTGAAATTTTTTAGTATGATGATTTTTTTTTTTTTGCTACAGACCTTAGCACAGGTAATTTTACAAAATCTCACTTTTCAGGCTTTTTTTCAGGGACTTTTTAGAGGTACCTAGTAAATGTATGACTTTTCAAACTTGCTGTAGGCTAAATAGATATATATATATATATATATATATATATACACGTGCAATTGATGACCAGAGAATTAGTTGATTTATATTTTCAGGNATACTATATATATATATATATATTATATATAGTAAAAATTTCAAACTTTCTGCAAGTAATTTTAGTTTTGCAATATTTTGATTAGTTTTACTGCTACAACGTTTCTAGGAAATGTGGGATGACTGTCCCAATTTACCCTGTCTGTCCCTTATTAACCGGTTTGACAGTAGTTTAGTTGCTACATTTCTACAAAATGTTGGAGGACTGTCCTGATTTACCCGCCTGTCCCTTATTTCCCAGTTTGACAGTAATTTATGCTTATTAGACCTGGGGCTGACCTGCTATGAACATTCATTCCAAAAATTCATCTCAAAATTGTTGATGCAACTGGTTAACAAAAGTGCAGGGGCCATCAAATTAGCATGGCATGGTGTACCATCTCAGGACAACTTGGGTACAATTTTTTTCTCAATTTGCAACCAATGTTTTGTGCTTCAATGGTCAGAGACTCCAGAAAGATTTGACTAACGCCATGTGCCTTTATTTTCTATTAATATTGGGAAATCTGCATTTTCTAGGAGAGGCTGGTCCTGGCAGTAGAACATTAAAGGTGATGATCACAAGGGCGCTGTTCGTCAATTTATTGTAATTTGTAACTATCAATACAACCTATATGAACGCCACTACAATGATGAGTGCTGTGATGATCCAGTGTGGAATTTGAGGGATATTGAAACTTGAATTAACCAGTACAGATAATTGGGAAAGCAAGACCTGAAAGCTTGGAAAGGTTAGAAACTTTCCATTTTCAGTCCATTAAATACATATCCTATCCTTTTTCAGCTGTGTATGGTTGATGGGATTGTAAAGAGCTGTGATTGGTTGTGCTAAAGCACCTTTCCAGCTGTGATTGGTTTATTTGTTTGTGCCCAAAAGCCCCACCTTGAAATATGATATTATGTTATATGTACAACACTAACAGTACTGATTAACTTGATACTTAAACAAACTTGACTTAATACCTAACGTAAACTCAATCATTATTCATTACAAATGGCCTGGAAATTTTGGTATTACTTTAGATTAAGTGCATCCAAAAATAGGGTGTTTGTTTTATTTAATTATATGTTTTTTGGAGTTTAGATTAAGAATCGGAAATCCGTTTTAGGCAGCCGGCATCGGAAATTTTTAATGGAACTTGTTCCTGACTGGACCTAACCTGCAAGGTTTTTGTTGATCAGCTAGGTTTTTTCTATGTTTTGAGTTAGGCCAATCAAAAAAAAAACCTCGCAGGTTAGGTCCACTTAGTTCGTAGTCCTGAGCCTTCATGGCTATAGCAATATATTATATATCAATTGAGTTGTCTATTAAAATCAGGTCTATAAACGCAATCCACGGATTAAATCTGCATCCACATTAAATAGAGCGTCAGGGTACATATTAAAAATTAGTTATTTTGAAAGTCAGATTACTAGCGCGTAGTGCAACATGTCAATTATACTGAAATATCAATAGGAAAGACCTTCAATAGAACAGCACAGGAATTTTTTTAAATAGGTACCGTTTCTAGATAGGATCATGAGAAATAAATTTGAATTAAAAAAATCCTCGGCATGGCATCTCCAAAAAAAATAGAGAATAAAAAAAATTAAATCGATGCAAATTATAGGGATAACTTTAATTTTTAATTAGGGATAATAAATTCAATTTGAAAGAAATTGGAGCGCGTTCAAAATTCTAGTTGAATGAGACAAATAGTAGAAGAAATTTACAAGAAACGAAAATAATGGAGCTGGGATTTCCAGAGGTGGCTCTTAAACCCTCTTAGTCTCCAGCCTCACCAGCGGCCAGCTGCATTACCTCATTCCCATTGAATATAAACCAGGCAGCATAAGATTACCAAAGACAATTCTTCACTAGGATCTTACCAAGGCAAGTTATAAGAGTATTGACAAAGTACGTGAAAATAGTAAAATGAAATACAAAGTTTTGAACAATATATAATACCAAATTAGCACTCCGCCGCGGGTAAGGCCGGAGACCTCCCTGAGACGAGGTTATTGGATACGAACGAGGAACTGTTCAGCAGTGCATTATAAGAACACCTTCGTTACACCAGATGTAGTGCGGCAGCTTATATACAAATTAAAAGCATTGAAGTGATACAAAAGACAATAAGATTGGTCTTTCATGAGAAAACTACAGTATTAAAATTGTAACTAAATGAAACCAACTAGAGATATTGAGTGCAAAACTTAGTACAATTTTTCAGTGATATCAATAAAACAATTGTACAACTTTAAACTTATATGTTTCCCAGCCGGAAATTTGCGTCAGGTAAACTTCAGCTTTAGAACATCAGTTTTCCATACATCCCAGCCAGGAAACCTAATATCATCTCGCAGCAATACGCTACATAATAACAGCAAGCAAACGTTTTCTGGAACTGCTCCATTATACTCCAGTTATTAAGAAAATTGTTCTATATTAACATGTGGTTAAATAAATCACATGGCTTTCATATATGAATGAATATGGTTGAATTAGATTTCTCCGATGCTGGGTGAGAAGACATCGTGACTGTGTAGTTATGAATATCATCGAATCATCAAGATCAATTCGGCAGATGATTGGTGAGAAGACGTCGTGGTCATGTATGCATGAATATCATCAAATTATCCACAAAAAATAGGCCGATGCTTGGTGAGAAGACGTCGTGGTCATGCATGCATGAATATTATCAAATTCTCCACAAGAATTAGGTCGATCCATGGTGAGAAGACGTCGTGGTCATGAATGCATGAATATCATCAAATTATCCACAAAAAATAGGCCGATGCTTGGTGAGAAGACGTCGTGGTTATGTATGCATGAATATAATCAAATTCTCCACTAGAATTAGGCCGATACTTGTGGAGAAGACGTCAGAAGTTAAGCTCTCACAGAAGCTCAGTCAAAGGATCGCTTGGGCTGCGCCGCAATCTCAGCTCGCGTCACAATGTCGTCCATCCTCACGAAAGTTTCAGACAGCGTCCGAATCTGAAACATTGACTTCATTACACTTCCTCTCATAATAAGTTGCTGGGGTACAAAACAAGAACATGAATATTATGTAGCGACAGCATAGTTATATTGTTATATGGAGCAAGGCAGTGATTATATGGAGCAAGGCAGGGGTTATAGGAGCAAGGTAGTGGTTATATGAAGTAAGGCAGTGGTTATATGGAGCAAGGCAGGGGTTATATGGAGCAAGGCAGGGGTTATATGGAGCAAGGCAGGGGTTATATGGAGCAAGGCAGGGGTTGGGGTTATATGGGGCAAGGCAGGGGTTATATGGAGCAAGGCAGGGGTTATTTTATCATCAGTCTTAAGGTCTTTTCGAAACTAATTGGCTAATCCAAATTTATTGCAAATGCGTAAGCTTGGGTCATGTCTACAGTTAGTTGCATGCAAGTATAATTCATTCAGATAATTTTGTACTATACAAGTCAAGACTATGTAATATCAAGACTATGTCAACACGAGCTCTGAGGTTGCGCTGAACTCACAATGGCGTTATAGGACTCGAGGAAATGCGTGATCCTCTGACTTTGTTCTTGCTCCTGCTCCTATTGCTCGCTGTTCCTGCTCGTCAGCTCAATCAGCTTCTCCCCGTCAGCCATGCAGTCTAGGGTCAAATGCCAGGGTAACAAAAATGCACGAGTGTTGATGTGAAAATGTAGAAGGATGTATAAAATAAATGTACCAAAGTTATTTGTTTAGTAAAAGCATCTCATATTAGAAATGCACGTTCAAAATGAATTTAACCACAACAGGTCAACAATGATGGCCATTAATAAAGTACATATAATGAATAAGCTCATATAACATAAAATTATGATTCATTGATTCAAACTGTATCAAGTCAATATGTCTTCAGTATAGCTAAGCTAAGTTATTAAGGTTATTAGTGGAGGAAGATTTCTAATGCACAAAAAAAAATTTTGAAAATCTTGCATTTTATTTTTAGTCATACAAAAACTGATTTTCCATTATTCATCATATCCTAAAAGCAAATATCTCCTTTAATTGGATTAGAAGTTTAATAGATAGAAACCCCAGTGATGGGAGCATAATAATTGGAATTACGCCAAAACTTAAACTTTACTGTAAGTTACTGGAAATTTTTAGACGACAAGTACATTAACACAAGCGATGGTTTTAAAATGATCGGAATAATGCAAAACATAGAACATTACAGAACCTTTATTTTGAATTGTCTCGAAGGCAAAATGAGCAGCATTTCACTGATCACCAGCAATAGGCTGGGAGTTGAGCACAGGTCTGAGCCTGTCTCTTATACACATCTAGATGTGTATAAGAGACAGGTGCTACCNTCTAATCATATTTTTTGAATATTATAATGCATCTTAAATCGTGCTAACCAACGCCCATTCTGAACAAATATGTTCAGGAACAATACAAAAATATTTCTGTGCCAAAGTTAGTGTATCCCCTTCTATGAGTATAACTGAGTAAATAGTAATAAAAATTTTATTCCAGAAAGTTGTTTCATTCGTACAAAACGTGGTGTCAAAAAAGTTAATTAAGTGTTTTACTTCAAACACAATTGAGCTGCAGCTACTAACCCTGTTATAAATACAAAAGCACCTAAGAAAGCCGAGATAATTCTTTTACCTAAGAGCGTAGTTTCGAGAAAACCTTAGCACGGTTAATTGGTGCTGCGGGTGAGAATTCCTGAAGGTACGATGAAGTGGTGAAGAAAACTGCAGTTTGAGTTACACTGAAAGGAGGCAATAAATCTGAGATATTATTGAATGAAGTGTCCTTTGCCAAACGGTTCATAGGGAACACTATAACCATCACGCTTTGCACAAATGCCAAGCTATAAATGAAAAATTAAAGAAATTAGAAAATTGTTAAGTATTTATTCATCAAAAAATTGCTCGTAATAAAGTAGACTGACAGCCAGTTTAGAGATGCTTTAGTCCTGAGGTCTTGACGGCCAGCGGGTCCATAGTGACGATGTCGTCAGGGAAGCAATCCCTGACGAGGATACCTTTGTCCTCCAAGTAATTGAGTTCGTCGATGTAACCAAACCAGTAAATGACGAGACCAGGACCGAACCTGACGGAGCATTTCACATAGAAATAATTCAACCGAAAGGCACGAAAAATTCAAGAACATAAACTCATTAGGAATTTGAGCAGACTAATTATATGTAAGTACTTAATAACATGAATATCGCTATGTTTTTCTAACAAACTATTTTGTTGCTGAGACATGAAAGGGTAACCGAACAACGGAGCTGGTGTATAATGTTGTCACCTGTTCCAGTAGCTCCATAGCTGGTCGTTGAGGTACGATCTATGGTTCTCACGGTCACCAAACGAGGCTTTACTCTCGATCCAGTTCACCACTCGACCTCCCACACCTGCAAGTGAATTTCATTTTGACTAATGCAGTCAGGATAGACGTACTTTCTCACATTTCGACTGAGTGACTCGAATGACAGTAGTTGATTTCATGAGTGTGATGCACAGCTGAAATAAACTTCAGCGCTGGAAAACACTCAAGTAAGGAAACTATTGACTCAAGGTCTACGAACATGTGAAAACGTTACAAGGAACTTCCAGGTATACCCGGAATATACTTGGAAGCAGGAAAAAAAGCAGTATTCCAGTTGATGTAAATTCCAACAACTGCTGGTCAGCATTTATCCTTTACATTTGCAGCCGTAGGTCGGCCAGAAGGCTCTACTTCAAATCCAGCAATATTATTAGATCCTAACTTTTAATATACAATCTTTAACACCTTCTTTTGAAAGTATCTCCAGAAAGATATATGCAATATATACTGAGGAGTTAGAGTAACTTATGTGAACTAAATAGAACTCATCAACACTTCAACCCCTGGTCAATACAATGAAGTATAGGGAAAAATATCATTATCATCCCACTGAAATTCAGGACTGCTGGACATTTAAATTACTGAATAACATTTACGCCTTCGACGAATAAAGCGAATTACGATTGTTATTAGTCGTTATTAATATTACGTGATTACATTACATTATTTAATATTATATTGTTATTAGCCGGACCGATGGGGACGTCGAGGCGCGTGTCGGGCGTCTTGTCGCAGCCCAGGGCGCGTAGCTCCTCCTCCGTCTGGTAGCCCACGCCGCGCTCCCGCAGCTTGCGCTTCAGCAGCTCCTCGTACTCGTGCCCGATGGAACTGTGTGCCGTGTATACCAACACATCACTCAGTGTCACGACACTCTCGACACCACGACACTGTGGCCATCACACGACCCTCTCGACACTACGATACTGTGGCCCTCACACGACATTCTCGACACCACGACACTGTGGCCATCACACGACACTCTCGTCATCACACGACACTCACCATCACACGACACTCTCACCATCACACGACACTCTCACCATCACACGACACTCTCGCCATCACACGACACTCTCACCATCACACGACACTCTCACCATCACACGACACTCTCACCATCACACGACACTCTCACCATCACACGACACTCTCGTCATCACACGACAC